GTAGAGCTGGCAGGACCACCTGCTTCCTTGGGGTGGATCATGGGGAAGGGGAGAAGGTAGATGGAGACTCATCTTCAGTGAAGGATGAGCTGCGCCATGATTTGAGGGCTACTTGCTATGGCTTCCTTGTGGCTCAGCTGGTAAAGGGTCTGCCTGCAATGTAGGGGACCTGGATTCAATCTCTGGGTTGGGAAGATCCTCTGGAGAAGGGAAAGGCTGCCCACTCCAGTGTTCCGGCCTGGAGAATTCCATGGACTATGTAGTCCGTGAGGTGGCAAAGAGTCGGACATGACTGAGCAACTTTCACTTTCACTATGTTCTCATCCACTAAGACCCTGAAAAAAGACACAAAAGAAAGAAAAAAAAAAAGAGACACAAAAGAACCATGTAGCCAACATCAAAGATTGTCTGTTTCCTTTGTTATTTATGATTTTACAGCCTAAATCTACTTTTAGTGTATTTTGATTTTATCGACCTAAGTAGGCTCTCTTTAAGTGAACAGGTTTATCTGATCAACAAAGTTTGAGAATGCCCATCTAACTTGTTAGTATATAAGGTTGACCCTGCTGTTCATTACTTTCCATCTGTGGTGATACTAGAATCCAATCCAGGAATCAAATCCAGGTCTCCCGTGTTGCAGGTGGATTCTGTACCAGCTGAACCTCGAGGGAAGCCCAAGAATAGTGGAGTAGGTAGCCTATCCCTTCTCCAGCAGATCTTCCCAACCCAGGAGTTGAACTAGGGTCTCCTGCATTGCAGGTGGATTCTTTACCAACTGAGCTATCAGGGAAGCCCTATTAATTCATTAGACCTCATAAAAATCAGTCTGCTGATGGCTGTGCCAGGTAATCATATTTTTGTTCGAAAATCTCAGCTTGAAGTCTGTATTTCTGGGCTTTGCTGGTGGCTTCTGCCAGTGCAAGAGACATGGGTTCGATCTCTGATCCTGGAAGATCCCACATGTCCCAGAACAACCAGTGCACCACAACTGTGCTCTAGAGCTTGCAGACTGCACCTGCTGAGCCCACGTGACAAAACTAATGAAACCCGGGAAGCCTAGAGCCCATGCTCCACAATAAGAGAAGCTCAAGCATCACAACTGGAGAGTAGCCCCTGCTTGCAGCAACTAGAGAAAAGCCCACACAGCAATGAAGACCCAGCATAGGCAAAAATAAAAATAAATGAATAAAAAATTCTAGAGAACGTCAGATGACTAAGAGAGGCTGAGAAGAATGAGGAGAAATTAAAAAGTGTATATTTCTGTTTAAATTGAGGAAAGTTGTTTTTATTTTAGATGCTGGTATGTTGGTGATTGTACTCTATCTTTACCAGAATAGGCAACTGTCACCACTTAGCGTAGTTCTTTACCAGTCATCAAGACTCTAGATTTCTCCTAATAATGTATATTCCTGGTTCCATCCAGTTCAAAAGAAAATTCCCATAACATCATCTTCTGAAACTTGGACCCTTTGTAAAATCCTCACATGGCATATTTCTCATGAGAAAAACCAGGAGGCACAAATCCTAAGTGAAATCAGAGTTGAATGGATTATGCTTGACTGTAATTATAGACATATGTTAGTTGCTCAGTCATGTCTGACTTTTTGCGACCCCATGGACTGTACCCCTCCAGGCCCCTCTGTCCATGGGATTTTCCAGGCAAGAATATAGAGTAGGTAGCCATTCCTTTCTCCAGTGGATCTTCCTGACCCAAGGATCAAACCCAGGTCTCCCACATTGCAGGCGTATTCTTTACCATCTGATCTACCAGGGAAAGCCACTTTACCTACAAAAGGATAATCTAATTCAAGAACCCAGGATTCCACACACATGCCACAGTGACTGTCATTGGAGGAGGCCATGCAAGAGGGGACTCTGGGGCCCTTTCCTCGAACCGCAACCACCCACTTTAATCCTTTTGGTATAGGTTTTGAGAGGAAGATGGTCTGCATGGGAAAATAGGGTTTTGGAAACTGGAAGCTTAAAAATGAATGCCATTGTGAGAGGAAAGTCTCTGCCAGACTCAGTGAAATGCCTGAGGCTGCCTGGCTGTTGACAGAAATAGACCTGTAATTGGTTCTCTCTCCTTTGTCTGTGTACTTCCCCAGACTGTGGCCACAATGAGGCTGACCTCCTCTGTTAACTGTTTCAGAGAGGTGGTCGTTTGCCCTTTTATTATGTTCAAGTAGAGATTTAGCTCCAGGTAAGAGCAGTCCTTTAGAAGACAATTCTTCTGGTCTAATACGGTTGTGAGGCTCTTCCATCTATGGCTTAAGCTCATTCTCTTTTATCCTGTGTTTGGTGGAACAGGATACTGTTCACTTACTCTTGCCCACAAAGTATTCTTTATTGTAGTTTGAAACTGTTTATTAAAACTCTGTCTTGTCTCTTATTCTTCAAGATATAAAAAAACCTCAGTTAGTATCTTGGAATTTCTAATCCATTGTTTGTCTCTGTGGCCTTATATAGCAATAGATTCTGCACTCTAATTGGCTTTAGGTCAGAGTATGAAGGAGTGGAGTTGGGTAAGAGTGGTGAAGATGACCACTTATTTTCATTGAGTCATCTCTAATTTAAGTGTGTGGTGGTTTTGGTTAAGGAGTAGAACTAACCAGTAATTTTTTTCTATCCATAGCAGAGTTTTATTATATTCCAGAGACTGGTATCCATTAGGCTGATCATTAATGAGTATTCTCACTACCTACATCTTGGTTCCCATATTTCAACTGCCTTATATGATGTCTGATGAAAAAAAAGTTTCTATATTCTTAGCTACACTGTTATTTTTTCTTAAAAAATTCTGTACCCACTCTTGAAGAGTCAGTAATTATTTCTTGAGACCTAGGACTATGCCTAATTTGTCTTTATTTCCTAAGTGTTTTAATCAGAATANCACTGTTATTTTTTCTTAAAAAATTCTGTACCCACTCTTGAAGAGTCAGTAATTATTTCTTGAGACCTAGGACTATGCCTAATTTGTCTTTATTTTTCTAAGTGTTTTAATCAGAATAGATGCATAATAAATATATGTTGAACAAATGAGTAAGTGTATATTGTTATAGCACTTACTTCTCATGTCCATAATAATACAGTAAATTCTTGATCCTTTATTCAGTGCCTCTCTTGTCTTCCTTCTAATTCATATGTAATATCACAGTTTTTCTTAGAATATAGTCACTTGAATTTTAAACTTATTTTAAAGGTGCAAAAATTTGTGAATTGCACACTGCTCCTAGGTCTGGGTTTAACTGCCAAATTAAAATTGAGAAGTTATAGGTTTTTCCTGGAAAATAAAGTGACTTTAAGAGGGATTTTTCTTTTTAAACAATTAAGTCTAAGTTCTTGATAATTGTGAATCAAAGAGCTGGAAACACTGATCTGGAAACAAAGGCTCAAATTTATGTCTGCTCTTTACCCCAAACAAAAAATATAAATTATGGAGATTAATTAAATTTTTCACAGACATAGTATACTGTAAAACTGAAAACATTTCTTTGGAAAATGGCATAAAGTCTGTGAAACTGAAAATTTGTTGCTGTGGACTGTAGTGGAGATGGGAATAAAGGTCTACCAGCTGTCCAAGAGGCTCTTGTGCTTATGGGCTGCTGTTACTTCAAGGAGGTTGTGGCCTGGAGCTCATGGTGTCTCAGGGGCCCTCTTGGCATCTTACTAGTGGTTCCTCGGGATTGACCTAGTTCTGCATTTTGCAGCATAAGTAGCTTTTACCACTACATCTTCATGAAGTAGTAGGAGAAGCAAAAATGTCTTGGCAGACATAGAGATGCCCATTAGGGAATGGTACCACTCCTAGAAAAGTGATTCTGGTTGCTGAATTTGTGCCTACAAACCCCTCAAAATTATTCAGCTAAATATGTTAAACACTGGAGGTAGTTTTTTTAAAGTATGGTGGAATTTTAAAAATAAGTGACTTAAATCTTTTTTGTGTTTTCAAAGATGGCATTTTGTTGCCATATATTTGAGATAGAATGGGTAAATTTTGAAAGAACAGCATGTTAATTTGATACATTTATATATTGTAATGTGATTGCCATTGTAGTGATAATTAACATCTCTCACATTACATAATTATCTTTTCTCTTTATGGTTGGAAATTCTACTCTCTTAGCAAGTTTGATTATAATAAGATATTATTTATAGTCACAATATTGTGTATTAGATCTCTAGGGCTCATTTTACTGTTCATTACAAGTTTGTACCTTAAAGACCATCTGTTCTTTCCTCTCACCCCCATCCCCTTGTAACCACCACTTTACTCCCTGTTTTATGAGTTTGGTTTTGAGATTCGACATATAAGTGATATTATATGTACTTGTCTTCCTTTGTCTTGGAGAAGGAAATGGCAACCCACTCTTTCAGTACTCTTGCCTGAGAAATCCCATGGATGAGGAGACTAGTGGGCTGCAGTCCATGGGGTCACAAAGAGTCAGACACAACTGAGCGACTTCACTTTCACTTTTCCTTTGTCTGACTTACCTCACTTTAGCATAGTGTCCTCAAGTTTCTTCCATATTGTTCCAGATGGCAGGATATCCTTTTCCTCATGGCTGAATAATATTCCATTTTGTGTACATATGTGTGTGTGTGTGTGTGTGTAGTGTATATATATGTATATATATGCCATATCTTCTCAGTCAACTCCATTCCTGGGTACAAGAAATGGTCTATAACTGAGGCTTAAGCATATGATGAGCAAAAGCCTAAGCTTTATCAGTATAAATCAAATGATTCATAGTATTCATGCAAAGAACAATAGCCATAGTTATAAAGATTTCCCTTGTTTTAGCAGAAAATAATAAACCGAGAAATATTTACATAAATGAAAGTTTTACCAAACCCAAGGAGGAGAAGAATGGTGTTTCTGGTTTATCATGAAATAATTCCAGTGTGACCTGCACGCTGCCTCCCTTCTTTGGCAGATAGACTTTCCTCCATGTGGGTGCCAGGGACACTTGATCCCACCGTTTCATGTTTGTTTTCAGGATCAGTTCAGTGATATGAGAATCAGCATAAACCAGACGCCTGGGAGCAGTCTTGACTTTGGGTTTACAGTAAAATGGGCTTTTTCCAGGATCTTCGTAGCATCAGTTGAAGCAGGTAAATCATAGATTTTGCTCTACTGTAGTTTTTTCTTGTTTGTTGTCCTTTGCTGTTCAACGTCCCCCTCCCACCCCCTCCCTCTGCCCAGAAATTTGCTTATTTGGTAGAGGAGGAGAAAACACATGTAAAAAATCCAGCAGTAAAGTGAAGAGATGTGTCTTCTTCTTAGAGACTAATGGAATTATGAATTACATATTGTTTGATCTTGCCTAGTTAATTTTAGTTTTGAAGAGCCATAATTTTGTGAGTGTTACAGAATTCATTTATCAATATTTTAGACTTAATATTTGGAAGTACTAGCAAATTACTAAACTGGAGATCCAGAAAGAGCTGTCCTTGTGTTTGTGGTGGATACATAGGTACTATGTATCATCAGTATTTCCTGAGCATCTAATGGATCTGCTGCCCATGGACCCTGGAAGACACTTCAGGACTTTTACAAAAAGGGTTGCCCCTCCTCCACCCAGGATTATTCCAAATTAGGCCCAGGAACTCTTAGCAAAATATTACAAGACCTGAAATTAAATGAAAGCTATTGTATATACGAGGAGTTCCTCATTTGCATGTTTTAGCTATATAAAAATGAATACTCACTCTGGTTATTTCTTTGAGACTTCAAGCCTGATTTAATTAGATAGTGATAGGTAGTAATTTTAAGCCATTTTAAGTGACCTTTTTTTTTTTTTCCTCTCCATTCCAGAGCGCATCTGGCTTTGGAAGCTCAGCTAAAGTACAATATATACTTTACGTTTTTAATTTAAACATAATTAAAATTTTTCTTCTTACGTTAATAAAGCAATTTTATTGAACAGATGGCTTTATCATTTCTCCTTTAAATGCTAAGAAAGATACATATCATAAAATAAAAAAAATGCCTTTGGTTGCCTTGTAATTTTGTAGCTACTCAAATATTTGATAACTTTAAGAAATTCTGTGACTCTTCTGCAACTGAAAAGATATGAGAAATGCTTAGATGATGTTAAGAAGTCATTATTTTCCTTAATTTAAATGAGCAGTGACTAGTAGAACATGTTTTTATTTTTCATTGGCGGTTTCAATTATTTTGCTTTATTTAGGTAGCCCAGCAGAATTTTCTCAGCTACAGGTAGATGATGAAATTATTGCTATCAACAACACCAGGTTTTCATATAAGGACACACAAGAGTGGGAGGAAGCCATGGCTAAGGCCCAGGAAACTGGGAGCCTAGTTATGGATATCAGGCGCTATGGAAAGTCTGGTGAGTTGATTATCCCACTGCGTTTGGCTTTCTAAACTGGGAGCTGGTCTTTGGCAAGTGGTTATAACAGCTTGCTTCAATAACATTTTTTTCTCTCTCCATTTCACTTTTTTGTTTTTTGGCTGAAAGTTGTTTGTGGTTATGTTGAAACATCTTGAATGATATTTCTTTGGATGTTCTGTCTGAAAACTTTTCACTAGCAAATTTACTGAATTCTACACTATTTATTGACTGACTGATGTGCTGAACTGGCTTTGAATGCAGATAGCAACTGAAGGCTCTTGTAATTGTGTCTGCATTTGGGAGTTATATGCTGATGTTGAATATTAAGAATTACACCATGGTTTCACTTCGTCTACAGCATCCTGACTGTAACTGGTAAAAGAAAGAACACAGTAGGTCAGTATCCCAGTTGTTGACTCTCAAGGAACTTTCCATGTACATTTCATCATTGTGTTTCTTAATTGTCAAGGTTAGATGGGGAAGGGCATTAAGCTTTCCCAGACCTACCAACTTAGGATATCAAAATATAGTATCCAGTCCTGGTTTACAGAAAGATTCAGCAAATTTGCCAGTCTTTTCATTATTAACATGCTCTAACCCTCTGGTTTGGAAGGCTATCTCTTGGTAAAAGGCCTGAACTCTTCATTTCTTTCACACACTGTCTGATTTATTTGTCTGTGTGTGTGTGTCTGGTTTATGTGTACATTTCAGTAACTTTGTTCTCTCCACTTCTACATTTATGTGTACTCATTTCTTGATCTTCATGTGACAATCAGATTGGGGCAAAGACCAGACTTCCCTGCCATTTACACGGCATAAAACCCTCAATCTCACCAGTATGGCTACCAAAATTATAGGTTCACCTGAAACAAAGTGGATTGATGCCACTTCTGGAATTTACAGCTCAGAGAAAACTTCAAATCTGTCAGTAACAACTGATTTCTCGGAACGCCTTCAGAGTTCTGTAAGTATTTTGAGAAGTGTTAGTAATGGGCAGAGCAAAGTAACTATAGGAAGTGTGTTGGAGGTGGGGGAAGAATGTACTTTCTTTGAACAATTTTGATGCTATTTTAAAAACATAGATAATTAATAAAGTAATTTATAGTAATGAGAGTAAAATATATCTTTGAAAATCATAAGGCATTGCTCATGAATAATTATGAGTAATAGTGAGTTATATAATGAAAATAATCTAAAGATCCCACAGTGGTCTTTTGTAGGTGTTTCTTACCAACCGTTCATCATTATACCCATCTCTCAGATCGTTGTGAATGTGAAGAAGTTAATTATGTAGAATTATACGCTATAACTTTTCTATGCTTTCCTTAGTCTTTACTGGTAAAATAAGTATAGTAATTGTGTGCAGTTTAAAAACCTCATGAAACAGTTTTAGTTCTTGTGTGGGTGAATTTGATGGGTAGAATTACATATGTAGTTAAGAGATGTGCAATTACATTAATTGATTAAAAGTAATTAGAATGTAAGCATTTTTCTAAGTATCAAAGTAATAATTTAAATTTTCAAATAAATGTGTTTATATTGACTCCCTAAATATAATTGTTGTTATCCCAAGATGCTTCCTTTTGCCTAGTAAGGTTGCCTTCTGCAACCTTGTATAAGAAAGGTTTAAATGTTACAGGGTTCTATATGACTGTGTTGCTTACTTACAAACATAAAGCAAATGGACAAATGATTATTTAGCCCATCATGTTTCTTGGAAAATTAATGACTGGTTGAACTTAAAGCCATTCATGCTTGCAGTTAGTCAGTAATTTTCCACAGCTTCTAAAAAACAATGAAAAAATTATATTTCTATTATATGTAAAAGGCTATAAGGAATATATTAATATCCTGAAAAGCTCATCCTGTTAGCAGATATGTGTATTGATGAGAAATGGATTATTTAAGCCCAGTGTCCAACTGGAGAGAATGTTAACTGCCATTTTTATCCTTTCTAGAATACTGAATCAAAAGAAATCAATGGAATTCGTGATGAAAGCAATACTTTTGAATCAAAAGGTAAACATTGCCTTTATAGCTTACATTTAAAATATAGGAAAAGTCACTGCACTCAAGTTCTGCTATTATAAAAATTAATATCTCTGAGTGAAAGCAAAACTGATCCAGTGCAAGCTGAAACTCAAAGGTTAGCACACAGATCCAATTGCAGCCAGGTGGAAGGGCGTTCAGTTCCAATGTTGAATAGTCCAGGAACTGCAAACAAAGCTTTGGCAGCCTCTGCAGGAGCTCTGAGCACCTATGTGTCTAATCCAAATAAGAAAGACTGGTTTTCTGGAGGCCATCAGCCTTCTTGCTATGGTGTGCTGGCAAGGGGAATCTTAGTTAAATATGAAACAATGTGTGAGGTTTCCTTTCCCCCTTAATTGTTGTCAAAGGGTCAAGCTTGGAAGCACCTAGTAATAGGGAAATGCCAGTGGCAATAATGATTGTTAGGAAAAGAAATACCCATTTGTAATGAAAAGCAAACATAGAGCATCTGGGGAAACTTTGTAGTATGGAGTTACCACTCCTTTCCTTCTCCTGTCCATCTACAAATAACTGAGCTACCACATTCTGTGTGCTGTGGCTTAGGCAGACAAAGTGAATAAGAAAGATCTGGTCCATATAGGCAGGGAGAAACTCAAAGAAGTTGAAGCTTCTCTTAGCATGAAACTAGACTGCCAGGCACAGGGCTGGGTTTTCTCAGTGGTTTGGTGATTTTGAGTCTGCATTTGTCCATTCATAATATCTGATGTCAAAGTCAAACCAAGTTTTTAAATTTTCCTTCTTTTATTGATTATTTATTTTTGTATTTAATTTATGATAGCTGGAAGTGACTCTGTTTGCTTTTTTCCTTTTTAAAGTTAATGGCTATAACATCTTGGAAACTAGAGCAAAATAGTTAGTGTCTATTGTTCAGTTGTGTCCGACTCTTTACCACCCCATGGACTGTAACCCACTAGGCTCCTTTGTCCATGGAATTCTTCAGGCAAAACTACTGGAGTGGGTGGCCATTCCCTTCTCTAGGGAATCTTCTCGAGCCAGGGATCAAACCCGGGTCTCCTGTATTGTAGGCAGATTCTTGACTCTCTGAGCCACCAGGGAAATCCATGTACAATTGAACAGTCCTTAATAACTCACATATTGGATTACCAGAAAGGATTTTAAGGTTTAAAGTAGGTATCTAAGTTTGCTGGTTTACCTGTATTTAAAAAAAAAAGAAAAACTATGTCTGAATTACTTTCCAACACAGCAGTAGGTNTGTTTAAACACACACTTCTTGCCACTGGGTGACAGTGAGAAATGAGAAATTTCATGTATGTCTTACTGCTTCCTGCGAATTGCATACTATTAGATTACACCAACATGCAATTGGCCAACTCCTAAAACATCAAATTTTGGGTTATGGAAAATGCTCTGAATAAAGAGCAGAATCACTGAATGCTATTAGGATGAGGACTTTGGAGTGTTACTAGGACTGCTATGCTGACTTTGAAGTGAGTTAAGAGTAAATTTTGCACACACCTGTCAGCGAGTGTGCTTGGACAGCCCCTCTGTTGGTGTAGTCGGGCAGTGCTGCTCACAGGGTGCTTTGCATGTGGCTTTTCCTCCCATTCACGTTCGTCTCATGCTCTGTCTCATGGATGCAGTTTGAACACTGTGTTTTGCAATCAAGAACCTAAAAGTAATATCCAACATTTGAGATGCAATGGCACAGTCAATAGGGAGTGTGCTGTTGGTGTCTAAAATGTCATTGTTTCTTACTTTTAAGGTTATCCATAATATTTACAAACTTGCCTTATAACATGATACTTACTGGATCTGTGTATTTTGTGTTAATTTCCTCATAGGCACTTTTGGTGAATTAAGATGTCTTTTCAACCATAAACTAGCTTTCCAGCTATGCACGTGCAAGAGTTTATTTGTGTCAGTAGCCTTAGTGGGTTTGACATTTTTTGTTCAACTCCGATTTTTCGGTGGTAATTTAATTGAAACCATGTGATACTCCTAGTTCAAATTGGCTAAAATAAAGCAATTCCTTTTCTTTCTCCATTGTAATTTTCACTCACTTTTCTGCAACAATTTTAGGGAAGAATATTTTCCTAAATCTCAAAAGCAGTTTTCTGAAAAATTTCATTGTGTAAGTGAATAATTTGACAGCTGAGGTTTCAGGAAAAATGAAAAAATACAGTACGAGAATGTATTTTATGAAACTGGCTTACATGTTTATAATCATTGTACCATATTCAGGCAAACACAGTTATGTAGGCCCCCTAAGAATAAAAAGAATGACCTTCTGCCCATAAGTTTACACATGAAGTCTGAATCTTTGTGTTTCAAATAATAGGCAAGCAAAGGGAAATATTTCATGAACATGTTTGTTGGTAACTTATTTCAGAAAAGTAGCTCATTGGCAATAAACCCTGAAAAATGTGACTTACACCTGTCACAGTGTAATTGAATAGCAACGAGTAAAAAAATTGGGTTGTATAGATGTTGTAATATTTGAAATTCAATTTTTTCTATTAGGCTCTGAGAATATTATTCACCCTGTTCATAAAAGAGCCCTGAGACTCCTTAGAAATATACCTGTATCTCTGCCTCAAGCTGGGCTGTAACTTGGGCATTCACTGTTGATCTTTTTCACTGGCTTTGAATTCTGAAGATAAGTGACAAGCAGATTCAACTAAAGAGAAACTTACTGTTGTTTGAAAACAACTGATGTCACTTAGTATACTAGCATAGAACCAGCTTAGTGATACAACTTTCTGAAGGGAATTATTTCATGGAAATGAAGACTTACATTGTTTTTTTATTCTTTCCTTGCCCACACGCTCTAACATAGGAAGCTCCGATTCTGTGGTTCCTGATGTAAGTAGTCTTCGTTTGGTTTTGGAATAAACTAGGAGGCTTGGGTGGGGCTGAATTAGTGCACAGTAGCATCACTTATTGTTACTTTAAGCTGCGTGAGAGTTTATCCTTTCCAATATGAAGAGACCCTTTTTTTAATTGAAGTATAGTTGACCTAGAATATTGTGTTCATTTCCAGTGTACAGCAGAGTGATTCAGTTACATGTATATATGCTCTTTTTTATATTTTGTCCATTATGATTTATTACAGGATATTGAATGTGGTTCTCTGTGCTATACAATGAGACCTTGTCGTTTATCCATTCTACATAAAACACTGTGCATCTTCTAAACCCAAACTCTGAATCCAGTCCTCACCCATTCCCCCGTCCCCCTCCCTGTTGCCAGCCAGGAGTCTGTTGTCTATGTTTGTGAATCTCTTTCTGTTTCGTAGGTGAGTTCCATTTGTGTTAAGAGACCTACTTTGAAATATAAAGCCCATTCTCCTTTGGTACAGCGTAGGCCGAGGGTGATCTGAATAATTCATGTATGCAAAAGTACTTCAGTAGATGACTTCATGAAGTAACATATTCTTCTTGGTTTACACCTCTTCTCTTTCGACCTGGCAGCTTCCAGTCCCAACCATCAGTGCCCCAAGTCGCTGGGCCTGGGATCCAGAGGAGGAGCGGAAGCGGCAGGAGAGATGGCAGAAGGAGCAGGACCGGCTGCTGCAGGTAGAGCAGAGCAGAGTGGATCCGCAGGAGCTACATTTGCTCTAAGAGCTCCTCCTGCTCAATGTCAACTGGTATTAAGAAGCAACTTCAAAAGTGAAAAGCTGATAACCACATAATTAACAAATCTTTTGATATGTAGCATGTTTTGTATGAAATACTTTTCTGTTTTGAAAATTTCTGGAGTCATCCTTTTTAAATTATTTGTTAGTCTCTGGGTATATTTTTAGCCACCTTCATGGATCGCAGCCTTGTCGTGCCCGAAAGGGCTTGCATAACTCAATGAAGCAATGAGCCATGCTGCATCGGGCCACCCAAGGCGGATGGGTCACAGTGAAGAGTTCTGACAAAATCTGGTCCACTGGAGAAGAAAATGGCAACCCACTCCACTGTTCTTGCCTGGAGAACCCCATGGACAGTATGAAAAGGCAAAAAGATATGATGCCAGAAGATGAGCCCCCCAGGTTGGAAGGTGTTCAATATGCTACTGGGGAAGAGCTGACGACAATTACTAATAGCTCTGGAAAGAATGACGCGGCTGGGCCAAAGTGGAAGCAGTGCTCAGTTGTGGATATGTTTGGTGGTGAAAGTAAAGTCCAATGCTGTAAAGAACAATATTGCATAGGAACCTGGAATGTTAGATTCATGAATCAAATTAAGTTGGATATGGTCAAATAAGAGACGGCAAGAGTGAACTTCAATATCTTAAGAATCAGCAAACTAAAATGGATGGGAATGGGTGAATTTAATTCAGATGAGCATTATATGTACTACTGTGGGCAAGAATCCCTAAGAAGAAATGGAGTAGCTTTCATAGTCAACAAAAGAGTCTGAAATGCAGTGCTTGGAGGCAACCTCAAAAATGACAGAATGATCTTGATTGTCTCTAAGGCACACCATTCAACATTATAGTATTCCAAGTCTGTGCCCCAACCATTGAGGCCAAAGAAGCTGAAGTTGACCATTTCTATGAAGACCTACAAGATCTTTTGCAACTAACACAAAAAACAGATGTCCTTTTCGTCATAGGGGGTTATAATGCAAAAGTAGGAAGTCAAGAGATACCTGGAATAACAGGCAAGTTTGGAGTATAAAATGAAGCGGGGCAAAGGATTACAGAGTTTTGTCAAGAGAACACACTGGTTATAGCAAACACCCTCTTCCAACAAACCAAGAGATGACTCTACACATGGACATCACCAGTTGGTTAATACTGAAATCAGATTGATTATGTTCTTTGCAGCCAAAGATGGAGAAGCTCTATACAGTCAGCAAAAACAGGACTGGGAGCTGAGTGTGGCTCACAGATCGTGAGCTCTTTATTGCAAAATTCAGACTTAAATTGAAGAAAGTAGGGAAAACCACTGGGCCATTCAGGTATGACCTAAATCAAATCCCTTAAGATGATATAGTGGAGGTGACAAATAGATTCAAGGGATTAGATCTGATAGAGTGTCTGAAGAACTATGAACAGAGGTTCATAACATTGTGGAGGAGGCAGTGACCAAAACCATCCCAAAGAAAAAGAAATGTAAGAAGGCAAACAGGTTGTCTGAGGAGACTTCACAAACAGCTGAGAAAAGAAGAGAAGTGAAAGGCAAGGGAAAAAGGGAAAGATACATCCAACTGAATGCAGAGTTCCAGAGAATAGCAGGGAGAGATGAGAAGGCCTTCATTAGTGAAAAATGCAGAGAAATAGAGGAAACAAGAGGATGGGAAAGACTAGAGATCTTTTCAAGAAAATTGAACATACCAAGGGAACATTTCATGCAAAGATGGGCACATTAAAGGACAGAAACGGTATGGACCTAACAGAAGCAGAACAGAACTATACAAAAGAGATCTTAATGACCCAGATGACCATGATGGTGTGGTTACTTACCTAAAGCCAGACATTCTAGAGTGTGAAGTTAGGTGGGTCTTAGGAAGCATTACTACAAGCAAAGCTAGTGGTGGGGACAGAATTCCAGCTGAGCTATTTCAAATCCTAAAATATGATGCTGTAAAAGTGCTGCACTCAGTATGCCAGCAAATTTGGAAAATTCAGCAGCACCACAAGACTGGAAAAGATCAGTCTTCATTCCAATCTCAAGGGCAAAGCTACTGTACAGTTGTGCTTATTTGACATTCTAGTAAGGTTATGCTCAAAATCCGTCAAGATAGGCTTCAGCAGTACATGAACCAAGAACTTCCAAATGTACAAGCTCAGTTTTGAAGAGGCAGAGGAACTGGAGATCAAATTGCCAACATTTGTTGGATCACGGAGAAAGCAAGGGAGTCCCAGAAAAACATCTACTGCTTCATCGATTTCACGAAAGCCTTTGACTACAAGGATCACATCAAACTGTGGAAAATTCTTAAAGAGATGGGAATACCAAACCACCATACCTGTCTCCTGAGAAACCTGTATGCAGACCAAGAAGCAACATTTAGAACCATACATGGAACAACGGACTGGTTAAAATTGGGAAAGGAGTACAAAAAGGCTATATATTGTCACCCTTCTTATTTCACTTATATGTAGAGTATATCATGTGAAATGCTGGGCTGGATAAATCACAAGTCGTAATCAAGATTGCCGGGAGAAATATCAGTAACCTCAGAAATACAGATGATAACTACTCTAATGGCAGAAAGTGAAGAGGAACAAAAAAGTCTCTTGATGAAAGTGAGAGAGGACAGTGAGAAAGCTGGCTTGAAACTCAGCATTTAAAAAACTAAGATCACGGCATCCAGTTCCATTGCTTCATGGCAAATAGAAAGGGAAAAAGTGGAAGCAGTGACTTCCCTCGCAGGGGTCTTTCCTTATAGCTCAGTCAGTAAGGAATCTGCCTGCAGTGCAGGAGGCCCAGGTTCAATTTCTGGGTCAGGAAGATCCCCTGGAGAAGGAAATGGCAACCCACTCCAGTATTCTTGCCAAAAGACTCGCATGGACAGAAGAGCCTGGCAGGCTACAGCCTATGAGGTCTCTAGAGTCGGACGGACACGAGTTAGCGACTAAACCACCACCACCACCAGAGACAGGCTTTATTTTCTTGGGCTCCAAAATCACTGTGGATGGTGACTGCAGTCACGAAATTTAAAAAATGCTTGCTCCTTGGAAGGAAGGCTGTGACAAACCTAGGCAGCATATTAAAAAGCAGACACATCACTTTGCTGACAGAGGTCTGTATAGTCAAAGCTATGGTTTTTCCAGTAGTTGTGTATGGATGTGAGAGTTGGAACATAAAGAAGGCTGAGCGATGAAGAATTGATGCTTTGAATTGTGGTGATGCAGAAAACTCTTCAGACACTTTTGTACTGCACGGAGATCAAACCAGACAATCCTAAAGGAAATCAACCCTGAATATCTGTTGGAAGGACTGATGCTGAAGCTGAAGCTCCAATACTTTGGCCATCTAATGCAAAGAGCTGACTCATTGGGAAACACCCTGATGTTGGGAAAGACTGCAGGCAAAAAGTGAAGTGGGTGGCAGAGGATGAGATGGTTAGATAACATTACCAGCTCAGTGAACATGAACTTCAGCAACCTCTGGGAGATAGTGGAGGACAGAGAAGCCTGGAGACCCCAGTCTGTGGGGTTGCAAAGAGTCAAACATGACTTAGTGATTGAACAACAAATATTTTTAGACAATGTAGCATCATCATTTTGTGGCTTTTCTTATTCATAAGAGGTTTATAGATTCGTAAGGACCTACCCACAAACACTGTACGCTCGGTCTATTGCAGAGTAATTCAGTGCCCCTTCCAGTTAGCTGGGGGCTTCCATGAATCACAGCCATGGGAAAAGGTGGATGTGGGTTCAGTTCCCAATGTCTACCCTTCCCTGTCTGCATTTTAGCTCAATATGAGCTATTTTCTACTTTAGTGATGCAAATCTGATTGGTCAAATCAATGTCTCTGTCTTTAAATACGGAGGTAGAGGGTAGAACTGGCCAAAATCCAAATAAGGGATTGTTTAATATCATTAGCATATTAATTAATATGCCATCTCATCTTATAGGAAAAATATCAACGAGAACAGGAAAAACTGAGGGAAGAGTGGCAGAGGGCTAAGCAGGAGGCTGAGAGAGAGAATTCCAAGTACTTGAATGAGGTAGTGTTGGATCATGTCATCTTCTTTCTTCCCTACCTTGTTGCTGAAAGGGCCTGTAAAATGGAACTACCCCGTTTCACGTGGCTTTGGTCACACATTCACTTATGTCACTCTCTCAATGTACCAGGCTGTGGTTTGTCACAATTATGCTTTGACGTTTCAGCCTTTCTCCTAGTTGCTCTGTTGTGTCACTAAGCAATCCTGTCAGTAGACTTTAAGTGCGTCTTCCTCTTCTGTGTTACAACTCCACTCCCCACATGTGTTTTTGTCTGTGATAAAACTCTTTCTTTTAATTTTTTTTGAACATTTTTGATTAGAGCATATTATTGTCTTGATTTCTGCCATACAACAATGTGATTGAGCTATAAAACTATATGTATTATTTCAAGTGGAATTCTGGGCCAACTACAATAAGTATCATTTAAAACTGAATATAGACGTCTTTGTGGAATGATAGAAATGCACAGGTTTAGACGGGTTTCTCTTCTCCCTGGTCACGTAGGAACTGATGGTCCTGAACTCAAACAGCATTTCTCTGACGGCCCGGGAGCCTGCCCTGGCCACCAGGGGTGAGGAGTCCAAGTCTCCCGACAAGGAAGGAACGCGGGCAGAGGAGAAGATGAGGCAGCAGCAGCAGGAGGAAGACGCGAATGAGGACCAAAGGAAGCGGCTGCAGGAACAGCTCACTCTTGAGAGAGAGAGGAAGGAGCAGCAGTATCAGGAAGAGCAGCAGCAGAAGCGGCGTGAGGCCGAACAGAAGCACCAGGCAGAGAAAGAGAGGGAAACTTCCATCAAAATATACCAGTACAGAAGGTCTGTCTCCACGGCCAGAGGGCACGTGTGGGTTTTCAGTTGTCTTGGCTTAGTTGAATGGATACAGCCATATCCATTCCCTGCTTCAGAGGCACCTACTTGGTCCTCTTGCTCCCCACCGTCCATCCTTTACACAGGGGAACCCAGGCAGAGTGAACTCTTTCCGTTGTCTGTCTGAGCTTGTCACCTGACTTCCTGCTCCGAGTTCCCCTGGTGCTCCCTGTCATATTACAACATCATCCAACATCCTCACCAAAGCCCAGGCAGCTTGGGTGAGCTGCATCTTGGCTTTCTGGTCTACCCAGCTGCTTACCACTCTTCACCTCACTTGGTCCCTTCCGGTCACAGTGGCCTCCTTTTCCTTCCATAAAAATGTCCAGTTTATTCTGCCCTGAGACTTTCACATTTTCTAGTCCCCGTATCTGGAGAAGGCTTCCCTTACATGCTTGTGTGGCTCAGTCATTTTGTTTAAGTCTCTGCTCCTATATCACCTTGTCAGACTTTGCACAATACCTCACCTGAAATACATGCCTCTTCCCTCACCCCTTCTCTCCAGTATGCACTTGCCTGCTTTACATTATGCATTTATTTACTCCTGTTAACCTGCCCATCCCACTAAAATGTATTAAGAAGCCAATAAGTTTATTTTGTTTACCAGCCCAGGCCTGGAATAGTACTGAAACAAAGCTGGCAATTAGTGTATGTTTGCAGGATGAATGAATTGTAAATGTCTATTGATGGTAGTGGGTCTCTGTTTTCTGTAGAGATGGATTAAAATACTTCTGTTTGTTTAGTTTTCAACTCAGAGACCATTCTGAGAATAGTCTATTCTGAGAAAGAGGCTATAATAACATTATTTTGATATTCGTTTCTTGAACTCTGAGAAGGCATTAAGTTCTAACATTTTGACCATAAACTCCTTTTCCATCTTTTAGGCCTATTGATTCCTATGACATACCAAAGAGAGAGGCAGAATCTTCAGGTTTGCTTCCTAGTGACAGGTGTGTAGAACTTTAATTGTAATTTGGTGGGAGTAATTGGCTTCAGATGAATATCTGAGGGCTTGTGTAAGTGTTTTGTAGGACTAAGTTAACATTTGCTCTTTCATGGGATACAAAGATATCCTGCTGATTGATCTTTGTATCAATTGGCTTTTGCTGTGTAACCAACTACCCCTAAACTTAGTGACGTGATTATGATTTTGTGGGTTAGCATTTTGGAATAGACTCAGTCACTGCTTCCTTTAGTTGACTGGATTCCTAGTGTATCTACCACCAGAAAATAGGAAATAGTCTAGGCAGTTGTGATAAAGCATGCCCTAGAGGCATTAAGGAGTATAGCTAGACATCATGCATTAAAAGCATTTTCTCCTATGTTAATACAAATGAAACCATTCATGAATGTTGCTAACAGTTATGATATATTTTGTGTTGCATGTAATTATATGCTGTATTAATATATTATAAATGTGCATATATATATATATATATGATAATGCACATTATATATTATTATTTGTTATTATTACTAGTATTTGAAATTGTGCCCAGAAAGGGAGAATGAGATGAGCATGTATTGATATATAGACCCAAGTTTACCATCACAGAATCAGGCTGTTTCAGAAGTTGCCGATGCCAGTGTGCTCCGGTACCTCTTTGGAATGCTAAGATGGCATTTGATGAGTTACTGTGTCAGAGTAGGACCCTAAGGCCCCTAAGTTGACTTCTTAACCCTTGGGAGCATGGAGGAAGCATTGACAGTCTGATGTTAGGCAGTCTGATAATAGATGCTTCACATGGCCTGTTAAGATTGATAGCTGGTAGAGAAGAGGGTCAGAGTATTCAAGTCATTCCAAAAAAGTCATAGGATTTCACTGTCATCAAACTGAGAGGATTGTCACATGCTTCTGTCTCTTTCTAGCATCATGCTCCTTTCTCTTTAGAGATGTCACCATTTTCTGCTAGTTTGTACATGAAGAATTCCTTGATATGAAAATAAATATGGGTCTCAACAGACATGGAAAATAAATCAACTGCTTTAAAAATAATCTTTTTGGTGTTCTTGCTTCATAAATATGAAAAGACTGTTCTTTATGAGATATATGTAATATGTTCTATGTTTTAGGAATAAATCCAGATCTACTACTGAATTGGATGATTTCCCCACAAATAAAAATGGTAAATGTGAATTTTTTTCAAAAATTTTCAGCATGACTGCTTAGCTATGCTATCACACCCTATGATTACTATTTTTAAGGTCAAGACATTTCAGGTTCATTAAGATTACATATTTGAAATACTACGGAATTTTAGCATTTACATATCAGAGCAGAATTATCTTGTGCTTATTTTGGCTTTAGTTTATAATGGAGGGAGTACTGCAAGATTAAAATGATTATAGATACCTTAGAAATTATGTGAAAAATTTGCAAAGTGATGCCAATACCGTTTGGTAATAGTGGATTTTATTTTGCCGCCAAAAAATTGGGACAGTAATTTTCTGCAGCAGACCAGGAAATTGTATATAAACCTGAACCTAGACATGTAAATGACAAGATGGCAAAAAACTCAAAATGATGATTTCACTAACTTGGCAAAAGCAATTTGGAACCTGATATTTTTAGTATAACGTGAATTTCTGGACCATAGATCACTGAGGTTATGTAACTAAGGGGAGAAAACTAACCATTTTAAGCAGCGTTTGCCTACCAGGCTTTGAGTTAGGAAGGTGTTGGTCAGTTATGTAAATAACTGAAGATCCAGCTGTAGGGTGAGGTGAGCTTGACGGACCTGCCCATTTAAGGGGAAGACTACTCCCACGTTGCAGTTTGTCACCGCCATGGGGGAAGATACAAACTTGTGATTGCCAACTCTTATTGAAAAACAGAAGTAAAAAAAAAACGTCTGAATTTTTATTTTAAGGAATTTTGACCAGGAAGTTTGACCAGGAATTTAAAAAATTGTGTAACCTGCCGTGAGCCAAACAATATCCACAGGCCCCAGTGGTCTGATGGCAGCTAGTTTACAACCTCGAGTTAAAGCTTGTAGAATTTGTAGTTTCTAGTAGGTTTCATGATCACCCCCTTTCTCTTAACACAGGGAACCTTTCATTATCTGGTCCTAGTTTAACTGTTCGGCCTATTGTTTTCCCCATAAGGGTCCCTTAACTATAACCAAACTATTCTCTCATTTTCCAACTTATCAGATGCTTTCTGATCTGGCTCCTCTGGTCTTACCTGTTTGGATTTTCAGTTTCTTTTCCCCTGTGCCCCAAGGTCACCATTAAAATAAAAGTTTAAATACTTTCATCTGCCATGAAACATTTTTAACATACAGTGATCATATTCTCATTTGAAAGTAAACACGTGACCTGTTAGTAATAACAAGTATGACTCTCGGAAATAGTTCTTCTTAATATTTGTGACTTGTGTTATTGATCTGGCTATTTTTGTACATATATTTTCTCCCCTGAATAGCACACAGTAGATGTTATCAAATATTTTGTTGGAAAACTTGGTTATTCCATTAAGCCATCTTTAAAATAGAAAACATTTTATTCTAAATCTGACCAAATTGATAAGATGCGTGTATGTACCAGTGTAAACATAGATGTGTATAAGAAATTTTTGGTGGGCTTGCTCATTGCTTCCTGGAAGATAAACCCTGGCAGAGTGAATTTTGAAAGAAAGACAATAGCCATGAATCTGGATAGCAAATGAAAAATCCTTAGGTGAAATTTTCTAATCCAAGTTAAAATGGGGAGGTTCCCTCAAAGTTATGGATGTTTTACTCAAATCAGGATTTTATCAGCAAATCTAAGGAGACAGAATTTTTTGTTCTAAAGGATAAAACCTGACTTAATTGTCATTCATAAATTCAACATCCAAACTACTACTCTGTCAGTTCTCTTAAAAGAGATACAAGTCCAAAAAAAGAGATACAAGTCTGATAACATTCCTTATCCATCATTTGGATTACTTGGCTATTTTTCAGTTTCACAAAAGCCATTTCAGTGATTGAGTATGCTGTCATTTCTATGGTCTGGTCATGACTTATTCTGTGACTTAACACCATGGAGATTTGAGCCATGTCAGCTGGAAAGAAAAGAAAGTGAAAATTGCTCGGTCGTGTCCAACTCTTTGCGATACCATGGACTATATAGTCCATGGAGTTCTCCAGGCCAGAATAATGGAGTGGGTAGCTGTTCCCTTCTCCAGGAGATCTTCTCAACCCAGGGATTAAACCCAGGTCTCCCACATTGCAGGCGGATTCTTTACCATCTGAGTCACCAGGAGAGCCCCTTGTCAGCTGGAGGTATATGCCTTTATGTCTTGGCTCTCTCCCCAGGGTGAGTGTACATTTTTTGAAAGAACAGAAAGCCCTGTTCCCCTTGCAGAATTATCATAGCAAGCATTCAGTGAGCAGGTGCTTGACTAATTTTAATTCAGGAAGGAAGGAAATAATGGAAGAGAAACTTTCTGGATGAGCAGTTTGTCATTTAATACTGCTGAAATCAAGACCAAGACCTTTTTAGGCAGCTTCTTAGTTTTCCCCAGTGTCCCCCTGATATGCCTCTGGGACTGGAATTGGAATTTCCGGGGACAGGAGAGACTGTTGATTTATCTTCTGAGGCAGCAGTTTCATTGAGAATTGATAATGTGAGCCTGGGTACCCACTGTCACTTTCCTTTTTTGGCTCTACTGTATTTGGAGATTTATCTATTATCCTTGTTTTTAATGCACTAATCCTGCAGCTTTCGATATTTTTAATTTAGGAAGCAATAGATACGTAGACCGAAGTGGGAACAGTAGCTCATCACAGAAGAGCTCGAAGAAGGAACCAGCACCATCAGGAGCGGAGTTGGAGAGACAGCAAATCCTCCAAGAAATGAGGAAGAGAACCTCCCTTTATGACGACAACAGCTGGATCCGACAGCGCAGTTCCAGTGTCAACAAAGAGCCTATTTGTCTGCCGGGGATTATGAGAAGGTGTGAGACATCTTTGGAATGATTTCCCTTTCTGTACTGAGGTGCAGATATTTAATTTCCAGGCGTGCTGGCTACTTTGGATGAAAGAGATGGCATCGTTTCTTCTCTTACGTAAGATTTTGTGAGAGAGAGAAGCAGAACCAATTTCATTGGGCACTTGACCCGGAGCACTGATTAGTGGCAGACCCATGGCAGGCAGTTTATCTACATCATCTCACTTCATCCGGGAAGAGTGTCTTGAGGCAGGAGTGGTAATTCTGCTTTTCCACAAAGAAGCTGTGGCTTGAGTAAGGAATGCACGCAGGCAAAACCACGTGGCTATTAGGTTGCAAGGCTGGATGTGGAGTTCTGATGTGTGATTCAGGCATTTAAATAATTGACGGGCTTAGTGCTTCCTTGAATGATGATTTTTAAAAAATGAAGCCTCCGTTTCTAATATAACGGTTAGATTGGAATTATGAAAATGGTGTTCACAAAGTGTGGAAACCTGGTATTTGCAGCTTTAAGGAAAATATGTAGATAGAAATTAATTGCAGATGAGAGGATGAACTTAGCAGAGGTATCTGGGGTAAATGAATACTGAAGCTACTTTTGTTCATTATTTCCACTGCTGATAAGCTGATGAATCCTTTCTGTGTTTCAGAGGTGAATCTCTGGATAACCTGGATTCCCCAAGAACCAATTCTTGGCGACAGTCCCCTGGGCTCAGTCAGCCGTCAGGAGTCTATGCCTCTTCCTCCGTCCAAGACTTCCGTCACCCCCCACCTCAGCTGCTGTCCACATCAAACCGTGCCTACATGCGGAACCCCTCCTCCAGCATCCCCCCTCCCTCAGCTGGCTCTGTGAAGACCACCGCCCCATCCCCCGTACCGCGTAGCCATTCCCCCGCGGCTCAGCAGCCAGGCTCCCAGCCACGCAGCAGGTGAGGCCCTTGGGGTTTTCCTTTTGCTTTCTTTAGACTCAAGGGGTAGTTTTCATTAAAAGTTTCCCCAGATCTCATCCAAGCGTTCCAACGAAAAAGAAGAACAAGGCTTTTTGAATGTGTCAAATTTAGTGTTCCTTTCCCAGATCAATTCAGAAGGCTTCCTTAATGTCTTTCCGTGGCAACCCAAGGGTATTTATGGATGTCTTATGAAGCCATGGAGGCCTTTAAAATGTTATGACTCTGCCACTGTCTCATTTACTTGGGCCTGTGGTCAGTGTCTCAAATGCAGACAGACCTAAATAGATTCCCAGCTGTGGAATCATAAAAACATACAGTAGCTCGTGAATGCATGGCAAAGTGATGAGTAAGAGCAGTACTGTAAAATGTTGGACTGTTTTAATGGGACTGTAATATACACTCATTTTATAGAGACTGAGTGTAAAGGACATTGTAACCCAGCCCCATCATCTGTGGAACTTTGTGCAAGCTGGCTTTAAAAATTCTCAAGTTATTTATTGCATTTGGGGCTTTTGATTTCTAAAACCATTGCTTGTCTCTTATCTGGCTGGTCAGCATCTTGCCGAGATTACTTCAACTGAATCCTGCAGGGCATATGCTGTGGGAACTGTGAGCGTTAGAGTGGTGGGTCTTGTTTTTTTGATATGGAATAGAGCTCAGACATCAACATGTGTTGGGGTTTTAGGTCTGTGTAGCTTCTCCACAGATCCCTGAGGCTTCATGAAACACCATCTAGCAGTGTTTCTGCTGAGACCTGAAGGGAGTTCTCCCAGCCTGTAATGCCGATGAAATACTGAAAAGTAGAAACACAATGATTAATATTGAGATTTTTTTTAAAGCTATCAACTAAAGGATTTCGTTCAGAGAAGATATTTTTATTCTAGCTATAATGGGTCTCAGGGAGTTTGAATTGAGGGAAGGAGCGATGAGGATTCATGGTAAATTTGGAAGGAAGAATAGAATCGGGAAGGCAGAGGAGAGAGTACTTACTTAAGTACTCAGTAAGTAAATTTACTTACTGAGAATCCTGCCCTTAGAAAGGAGAAAGGAGACAGGGCTGTGGGCTTCTCTGCCCTGAAAAGGTCTCTGTCTAGAGCACAAAGTGCTCAAACATGGGACATTCAACAGCAACGCCCTTTGCAATGACACTGAAGTGCTGTGCCCATCCTGCGGGATGCAAAGAAAAGTAACCTTCACCTTCCTGCCTGGGAGAGGAGATAAGACTTGTAAACAAAGCAAAGCAGAGACTCACCATGCCTATCTGAAGGCTAGCTGTAGTAGTTTTCATGTCATTCTTCGCAGAGGCAGTCCAGTAAGCCAGAGGCATGAAGGAAAGCACTAAGGAAATGCTTCTGTTTAACTAGATTGTTGGGTGAATGAGAAGGAGGTTGACAAAATGAGGGTGAGATGATAGGTTTAGTAGACTTGCAGTGCCTCTTGGAAGTAGCTGGGGATGCTCTTTTAGTGGCAATAAGCAAAGAACATGATAAGGGATGTGCTTTGGTGGTTTACCTGGATTAGAAGGGCATGAGAACCTTGCTGAGGACAGATGTGGCCTAAGGGAGATAGCAGAATGGACCGATGACAGAAATCGTTCATTTCTGTAACTGGGTGTCAAGGGCACCAGAGCCATTGTGGAGATCCTTCAAGGTACAGTACAATCAAGCCGTGATTGGTTGGCTGGTGAAAGCTTTCCTCCCGTGGATATATAAAGACGTTCATAAAGGATGGCTCATGTTAATACCTGAATGAGTTTTAGATGAGAGGTTTGAAACGGATGAAAGCCTCCCTCCCATTCTCGTCCTGCGTCTAGGTCGGTCAGTGGGAAGCGAGTGTGCTCCTTCTGTCATAACATTCTGGGCAAAGGAGCCGCCATGATCATCGAGTCCCTGGGTCTTTGTTATCATTTGCATTGTTTTAAGGTGAGACTAAGCCAAACAGCCTGCAGGCCTGCAACGCTTTGCTTGGAGAGCGCATGGCTTCTTTGAGCGCTGGGTGTGGACCCGCCACTAACAAGCTAGGTGCTGCCTCTGTCGGTCTGCACTGCCCTCGGAATCACAAGTGGCCTCCTCCTGCTGCTGCCTCTTCACACCTTGACCCTGGAGGCACCATGCGCTTCCTATCTCCAACCTAAGATTCTATAAGTAAAGTTTACAGTGCATAAATGCTTCCTCTAACATGCTGCTATGGTTATTAACAGCATGGGGACGTAAATTATAAGTGTCCAGAAACCTAGCTTTGAATGGGGAGAGTGTGAAAGAAATTACATTGTAAATATTTTTACAGTCGCAGCTAAGGGATTCTTACACAAAAGAAAGAAGTAAGGCTATATAACGGCCTTATTTTGCAGTATCTGTCTTTAGAGACACAGTTATTTGATTCTTGAACTTGTGTTGGGCCAGAGAGAGAACTTCTGGTTGTTGATCCTGGAGTCCTGCAAGAGCTCAACTTGTTTTAAACTTGTCTGACTCTGGCTCGGGTTGTTCCCTGACATAACAGAATGAGTCAGAATTATTAGTGTTTGAGCATGTGGAGCCAAAATACCCAGCCATGGTTATTTTGGGAAAGCACCATGTGTGAACACTCATGGGGATGCCCGGATGGCCCACTCCAGGGCAGAGAGCCAGAACCTAGTCTTCTTGCCCTTGGCCAGTTCCTTCCCATGGTGCTTAATCCTGTCCATCCTCCGGGAGAAAGGAAGCGTTAGCTTCTTTAAGCCAATCAATGAATCATTTCTACTCTTTTGGTATAGTTAGAATGAAATCTTGGCTCTTAAAATTGGCTTTATGAATTCTTTCATGTCTCATCCAGCAGGCTTCATTTTAACCTAATTATCTTTTGGCCTTTTTTTTTCCCCCCCTTTGCTGAAATGTCTCTAAGCGCTTAGAAACTGCATTTTATTTTGCTCATTTTTTTCCCCACCCTGGGAGTGTTCCCAAGGCTTCTTAAGCTAAGTGTGGGTGTTCCCTGTTGTTTTTGTTTGTCTCCCAGTGTGTGGCCTGCGAGCGTGACCTCGGAGGCTCTTCCTCAGGAGCCGAAGTCAGAATCCGAAACAACCAACTGTACTGCAACGACTGCTATCTCAGATTCAAATGTAAGAGAGCAAATCAGGGAGAAAATTTCTTGTCTTTTACAGAAAGCACGGGTTCCCATGTACTTGCCTGAACCTCCGACCAGCTCCCCTTGCAGCTTTCTGCCCTAGAGCTCCAGGCTTTAGGAATCTCACTCTGGCCCCTTCAAAGAGGGTCCGGGGAAGGGGTCAGTGGGTCACTTCTCAGGTTCCAGCTCCACAGGGTTGGGTATGGGGCCGAGGACCTGGAGACGGATGTCAACTGGGGAGTCAGGACAATGTTCAGTGCAGTTCAGTCTGCTCAGAGTCTGGGGAAATTTCTAATGACTCAGGGGTGCAAATCAAATCAGTTAAAAGGAGTCTTCTGTACAGCCTCTCATCTGTTGCTTGGCTGAGGATTGGCCCCTCATAGTTTTAGCTGATCTCTATTATTTACCAATGTGGTTCTGATTATGTGATTTAGAATATGACCAACTTAAAGACTGTGGTTTAAAAGGAGAATAAAGAGTAGTTGGTATATGTTTGTTACTATATAATCATATCCTATCAATATGGACAATAGTTTAAAAAGAGAGCATTAATTCTGATTGCATAGTCTTTCAGCATCATTTTTGAAAAAACTGGGTTTTTAAAAAACTTCACATGCTTATTTTGTGTCGAAGCATGTTTTTGCCTGTAAGTGTGCTATAAAATATCGGATAGCATAATTGGATCGCCTGTTGTTTATAGCTACATAAAGACTACCATTCCTCCTTTTTATATTTTGAGCCTTGATGCTGGTAACATGTGTTTCTTCCTTATTGTGAAAGGGTGTTGGTTACAAGTGGTATCAGCAAAACCATGTGCTTTTGAGCTCTGAGGTATTTATGTGGCCTTTCTGTGAAGAGTGCTTTGGAAATGGCGTCAGCCCAGTCAACTCTCTCTTATCTGTCAGCATGTTTTGAGCCTTCTTTTGCCATTGGTCCAGGCCATTCCTGGATGCCAGCACTGAGGCTGGAGACTGTCAAGGTTGGGCATGAAATGGGGGGAGTGTGTGTATGTGTGTGAGCTTTCCTCTCTTTAGTCCAAATTCCAAAGCCAAATATAATTGATTTTTGGAATCAACGTGGAAAAACTGCCCATGCCTTTTCTCTTCTCCAGGACAAATAACAGAGAGTTGAGTGTAACTTGTTTCTGTATCAGCAGTTAATTTTTACTCCCATTTTTGCAAAGAAAAGACTTGTGAACCCAGACTTTGTGGGTTTGCCTAGCTTTATCCTAAGTGAGTAACAGAGTTCTTTCTACCTCATGGGGTTATTCTCTGAGCCATTCCTACTATGAATCCCAGTGGCAATATTCGAGTATTTCTGAATCTAAGTGCTTTTCTTTCTTCTCTCCTTGCCTGATCAGCTGGACGGCCAACCGCCATGTGATGTCAGCCTCCACCCGAAAGCCCTGCTGCAGATAGAGGAAGAGGTGGTTGCCGCTGATATAGATCTATAAACACATGTTGTAACATCCTTTCGCTCTGTTTTTTTAAAAAGAATAACACTTTTTCTGACCTCTTTAGATTACATCAGAGCATTATAGTCTTGGTAGAACCTGTATTTTTGTTGTTTATTTATAAGACGGTAATGATGTGTGGCAAAAAGTGCAGTATTTCCTTTTTGGATTCAGCATCATAAAAGCACAGGAAAAAACAAGAACTTAAAAAAAATTTTTTTTTGAGGCTGATAATGATCCGATTGACTTTCTAGCGGTGTTTTGAAGAGGGTTATTTTATTGTGTTTTTTTTTTAACTCTGAAACATTATTTGAAATAGTTAATATAAATATGTAATAGCATTTGCTTTGTTTATTATAAAATATACTAAATTAATGCAGAGCCATATGGAAAATTTTACTAAAATCCACTTCCAAATTTGCTTTGCATATTCTTCTTTTCATTTATGTAATATTATGGTTAATTTTTTTTTTTTTTAGCTTATGTAACATTTTATTTGTTTGATGAGGGAGCTCTATTTTCTTCACCAGAATTGTTGCTAAGCAGTTCTCAGTAGAAAGCTGCTTCTTTTCATTCATGAAAATTATCATGGTTTGTATGCCAGAAGTTTTCTTCAGAAACTAGTGAGCCTTTCTGTACAACTGCATTTGTAAATAAAGCTTGATGCATTTAAGGAGTGTTTCCTTTTCTTTGTGTATCTGTGTTTGTCTGCCTTCCAAGGCTTTAAATTATGTTTCAGTGTGTGGCTTTTCTGATACTAAGTTTTATTTTTAACATCTTTGTTGTTGCTGCTGATGCCAAGTCGCTTCAGTCCTGTCAGACTCTGTGTGACCCCAAAGACGGCAGCCCACCATCCTCCCCTGTCCCTGGGATTCTCCAGGCAAGAATACTGGAGTGGGTTGCCATTTTCTTATCCAATGCATGCATGCATGGTAAGTCGCTTCAGTCGTGTCCGACTCCGTGCGACCCTATGGACAGCAGCCCTCCAGGCTCCTCTGTCCACAGGATTCTCCAGGCAAGAATACTGGAGTGGTTTGCCATTTCCTTCTCCCTTTAGCATCTTTACCGAGGTATAAATTGATATACAATAAAATGCACAAATGTAAATTGTACAGTGACAAGTTTGACATGTGTATACCTGTGAAACTATAACTGTAATTGTGATATTGTTTTTACTGAAAAATTTTAACAAGAAACTTTGTTTTTGATGGAAAGTTGCTTTTGAATGCAATATGTTTTTATGGTAAGAGGTGAAGTGAACGATGAATTGTTGAATGATTCCCAATGAATCTTTACCTACTCTTTTGCTCCTTTGGTAATAAGAGGAGATTATAATTTTTGAACATATATAGGGCAAAAAATATACATAGACTAATGTTTTAGAAATGTGGCATGAGAGTGCAAGAATATTGAACTTAGGCATGTGTCAAGCAAAAATATAAACTTACTTGAATTCTTCATAATAATGAAACTGGAGTTGATAATTCTAGGATATGAGAACTGTACTGAGATACATTAGAAATATATAACCTCATGGAGGGGAAAGGTATGTATCCAAAGAATTCTAGCTCCTGATAGAAATGACCAGGGCTATGAGAGAAATCCAATGTGTAAGAATCCATGAGACATTTGCACTAAGGGAGTTGAAGCAGCTTTGCGGCAGAGTTGATATTTGAACTTCATTTTTAAGAGTCGATACAATCTTCGCAGATAGAGCATGATGAAGGAACAAGATACCATTTCTCAGTTGGGGTCAAACTCCCAGAGAGTCTCCCTTACTTTGTATTCCAATCAAAACCATATGCACTTTGGCCTATTTTGCCAGAACAATGAGGAGATCCTTGGATATACTATGTGAGATCATGTCTCCATGGAGTGGTAACAATCTGACATGGGGTGATGAGACTGCAAAAAGGAATAAATCAGTAGATGAGAGATTGTGACCCAAAAACATAACAGGACCTAAAGAGAAGCAAAATAGTAACTGTGGGACCCGAAGCCTGGGCAGTGTAGAGACTGATATTGTAGAGAGAGGAGATGTGTTCTGTTTTGGGCGTACTGAAGTGCTGACATACAAGGAAAAGAAGGAGGTGACTGTAGTTTGCAGTAGGAGTTTGGGTTTAAATAGAAAGAAATGACATCTGTTAAAGTTTGTTCATTTGCATGCTCAAATTGACTTAAATATAAGTCCATTTCTTCACCTGAGAGAAAGTCAAGAAGGTCAATTTATCCAGAAGTCTAATATCATCAAGACCCACCATCATTCACCTCAGGCTGTTTGGCCACACAGTGCGGGCTGATCCTCAGGCTACTTACTACCATCGTTGCAAGATGGCGGACAGGCTCCGTGCTTCTTTGTTCATGTTCACGGGAAGAGAAACTGATCCTTCATTGCTGTTAAGTGTATAGGGCAGCTTTTCCAGAAGCCATTAACAAAACCGCTTTCTTCTCATAGGCTAGGCTGGGGTTGTTTGACCATTCTTAAACCTGGAGACCCCCTTAAAGTGAGGATCAATTTCCCAATCATGGTATTGCTAACTAATGGGAGTTTGGTGGAGTAATGTTGGGGGTCAAACAACATTGACCATAGTTAGTCTTTGTAAATTCTCTTAAAAATTGAGTGCTTGCATTGAATGAGACCTTGTCTTTCAAAATTAAACTTTCAAAATTAAAAGTTTGTCAATCAGTGAGTTTCTTAACACTATCAGAGAGAACAAGGGGAGGGGATGAGAATATTTCCCTTGGATGATACCCACCAAGGATCATGTGAGGGAGTACTCATATGAGGAAATTTAATCTCTTCAAACAAATATAAAATATCAGCTCATGGTGGTGATGAGGCAAAAAATTGGTAACCTGGATAATTTGTGAGTACTTCTGAATACTTGGTGAATACAAAGGGTGAAAAACAGACCCATCTGTCTTCCGATTTCTTACATGAAAATTCATGAAAAGAAATAGTGGGTTAAGTGCTCATCTTGTGATTGAATTTTGAACTTTAAAATTGTGGATTTTATATACTGTAATCTCATGATATATTGTTTAATACATACAATTGACCCAGTCAGTCTTTGGGTGATTCTGTATAAAGCGTTTTAATATGTACACTGTAAAGATCCTCAAAGCTCATCCTGGAGAGTATTTTCCAATACCAATTTTATAGCACAATCCTGTGAAAGATTATCAAAACTCCTTGCTATTAAAATTAGACTGGAGTAAAAGGAATTATTTAAAATTCCATAGGAGAGACCTATTAAAGTCAGGCAATGGGTGCAACAGTGCTAATTTCTAAGTTACACTCAGGTTTTAACTTACATATTTTTGTGTGCTGTTTGAGTTACCTTAAAGTCTTTTTTTTTTAAATAGCTAAAGTGCTTTTTTAGATCTATGATGAATTCAGTGTCACAGACCTACATGGGAGGCACTGATCTGCCTGCTGCCATTTCAGCCTAAATAGAAAGTTTCTCTTACATGTGTCAGAAGCTTACTTGGCCTTTCAGCCTGTCCTGTGGCAGTAGGAAAATGGCCATCAAAGATGGCCGAGAGAACTCCTGGGTCAAACTTGCAAGTCCTGTGTGTTCTTAAATCCATTTCTACCTTCAAATTAGACTAACTTCCTGGCATCTATTAATTGTAAGATTCTAGGTTTGTGTCAATTTCAAGTTCGGATGTATTATGAGGTATATGATGTCCATGTTGCCTTCATTCTGGATACTTTTAAGTTCTGGTGTTAGGAATATAGGTCACAGCTGAAGAGGAAGCCAATGAAAGTGCAGAGAGAAGCCAGGAAAGAGCCTTGCCTGTCACTTGAGTTCACCTTTAACAGGCTTTTATCTAGTATTCACTAGGTGCCAGATTTATTAGGGAAGTGGTAGGTACCAAGTGTGGTATTTTCATACTATTAAATAACTATGAAATCTGTTAAGAAAATTAACACTTTTATAATTTAAATTATTTATGATTTTATAGTCCATAAAGTGGCTTCCCTAGTGGCTCAGTTGGTAAAGAATCCACCTGCAATGCAGGAGACCCAGGTTCAATCTCTGGGAAGGTCCTCTGGAGAATAAAATGACAACCAAATTAACATTTTTATAATTTAAATTATTTATGATTTTATAGTCCATGAAGTGGCTTCCCTAGTGGCTCAGTTGGTAAAGAATCCACCTGCAATGCAGGAGACCCAGGTTCAATCTCTGGGAAGGTCCTCTGGAGAATAAAATGACAACCTACTCCAGTGTTCATGCCTGGAAAATCCCATGGACAGAGGAGCCTGGTGGGCTACAGTCCATGGGGAGTCCAAATTAATATCTACTTAGAGTCCCATTCCATCTAAAGGCAAGAAAACTCAATTCTAGTCTCATCTGTTTCTCTAGCTTTTTCAGATTTTGTTGTTGTTGAGTTACTAAGTTGTATCACTGAAGTCAAGAAGACACAGGAAAGGAAAATAATTTGGGGTTAGGAATTTGCTACATAATACAGGTGTCTTCATTGTATCTCAGTTTATAGTATTTGCAAAATTCTGTTTCAATGATGAAATATGAAAAACTATGAGCCATTCATTAAAAATATTTTAGAAGGCTGATACTCAATAGTAAATTACTTATTTATTAAAAATAATGATTTATGATAAAACTCAGTACATTTACCTATTGATTGAATAGCTATTTTGGAATAAAGATTTCAGAATGTAGTTCCAAAGTCTCATATCATCATCATTACTGTACTATTTTTACTGCATCATTTATTGCAAATTTTAGTCTCAAATTGTAGTCAGAAGTTAGCAAATGTGGTTCATTTTATAAAAACAGGATTTTTTTTCCCAGCTATATTGAGGTATAATTGACAAAACTGCCAGATATTTAAAGTACACAACGGAATGATTTGCTACACACATTGTGAAAGGATTTCCCCCTTGGAGTCAATTAACACCTCCATCACCACACATATTTATCCTTTTTCTTCCTTTCTTTCTTTTTTTGGTGAGAACACTTAAGTTCTATTCTCTTAGCAGACTTCAACCATACAATACAGTGTTATCAATTAGTCACCATGATCTACATTAGGTATGTTAGAGGAACCACTGACTGGAACCACCTGCCCTAGCCAGGCAGGATAGTAGCCTCTTGCCTGAGTTACCTTACAACAGGAGGTCCTGGTAAGCAATGTGAAACTCACAGGCTACCACCAACCAGAAGTTTGCAGGAAAGGTCAAAAAGAGAGGAGACACAAATCCATGTGTCCTACCAACCTCCCAGAATCATCCTCCCTGGCGTCCATCTTGGCTGACCGGTGCTCTTGCCACCAGGAAAAACTGATAAAACCTAAGACTGTGAGCACGTGGCAGAGCAGTTCTCCTGGGTTCCTCACCCTTCTTCTCTCTTTCCTGGAGCCCCTTCCCAATAATCTCTTCCTTTGTCAGCACGTGTGTCTCCTCGGACAATTCATTTCCGAGTGTTAGACAAGAGCCCACTCTCAGGCCCTGGAAGGGGTCCCCCTTCCTGCAACAGGTTATTCTCTTATAACCGAAAGTTTATACCCTTTTAACAGTTCAGTATAGTCACTCAGTTGTGTCCGACTCTTTGCAACCCCATGGACTGCAGCACTGCAGGCTTTCCTATCCATCACAAACTCCCAGAGCTTACTCAAACTCCATGTCCATCAAGTCAGTGATGG